CTTTGCACTAAGTGCACCAGTTCTGTACCGTGGGGCCACAGAACCAGCAAGGTAGACAGGCCAATTCCTTCTGCCTGCATCCCTGTTATCTGCTCTGGCATGCCTTTGTTACCCAGATTGTTATCCTTAGGGGCTTCCTTCCTTCCAGCTGCCTTCTCTCGGTCTCCTCTTTGGCCAGCCTCCAAGAGGGCAACATATGCTCTTCAAATCTCTCACCGTATCTCAGTTAGGCAGCTTGCTAGAAATGCCTTTCTTGCATTTCCTATCATAGTATGGCTTTCTTTAACAATAAAGATTACCCTTTCCTTTCTTACAGCAAGAAACCTCATGTGGGCTTTATTCTGAAGCAGCCTTTCCCCTTTCCCTTGTGCACAGCCAGCTCCTGCGAGCCATTCTGACACTCCTCAGTAAGACAGGGCATAAGAAGGAACCGCGGCTCATTGGAAGAGCATGTGCCTTGCATGCAGGTCACAAGCTCAATCCCCAGCATCTCCAGTTTAAAGGATCGGTTAAGAGGTGATGTGAAAAACCTCCGGCTGAGACCCTGGAAAGCCACTGCCAGGCAGAGTAGACTAAACTGACCTTGAAAGCCCAAGGATCGGATTCAATATAAAGCGGCTTCATGTGTCAGTAAGGAAACAGCTCCACTGTCTCCCTGTAAAGACCATGATTGTGTCATGCTTTTCCCTAATGATGAGTACACTCTTTGGAACGTTTCCCTAGGGGTAAGGCCCACTGAATAGACCTGAGGAGGGTTCTCTGTATACCTGCATAGGATGGCCCTCTGTAAGAAGCACAGGCACATTTACAGTGCAATCCTAAACAGAGTTACAAAAAATCGCCTTAGAACTACTTATTGAATGTTTTCATACACCGGTAAGTGCCAAAGGCTGGGAAAAAAATATTTTGAATAACAGATTGGGTTGGATTTCCCCCACCTCCTCTGTACAAGGAGGATGTAGTTCCACGCATGCAAGATGTTGGGGGGGGGAATTGTGATTTCTGAAGAACCCCACGACCAGCTACAGCTCCCCCCCTTCCTAAGCCGTATCCCATGGGATTCCCAAGGGTCCCAGAAACTTCAGGGACAGCCTTTCTGGCGCAGCAGACAGAAAGGAGAGGAGTCCAAGTCGCATTTTTCAGAGCTCTGCTGACAGTGCTTAGAGTCTTACTCTGATCTCCTATATAAATGCAAATAATTTTTCCAAGCTTTTCTTATTAAAAAAAAGTAGGTTCTTTTTCTAAGAACCCCTGTTGGTTTAATATCTGCCTCTTTGAGTGGGACTGCCTTCTATATAGGGTTACCAACCTCCAGATGGCACCTGGAGATCTCTTGCTATTACAGTTCATCGCCAGACAACCAATATCATTCCCCCTAGAGAAAATAGCTGCTTTGGAGGGTGGACTCTATGTCATTATACCCTACTGAGGCCTCTCCCTTCCCCATATCCTGCCCTTCGCTGGTTCCACCTCCCCCCCCCAAAAAAAATCTCCAGATATTTCCCAACCCAGAGCTGGCAACCCTACTTCTATTCTTTCTGCTCTCACCTGGCTTTCCCCTCTCTCCCGAAACAAAGGCCAGTCCTCTCTTTGATAACATTCACACCCTTTGGGTCCCTGCCTCTCCTTCCTCTGATGTCACCCCCCTCCAGTCTCAAAACGCAAACATCCAGCTCCTAAGAGAAGAAACAAGAGGTCCATTCCAACATCCTTCTTGTTTTAGAGTACTAATGGTATGTTGGCACATTGTTGGTGTTCCTGAGATAGATCCTACCACTTCACTGAGTAAAGTTGATGTATCAATACATTTTTACCCCACATTTCCTTTTGACTCTGGTAGGACACCTTTCTTCAATCTAAAGAGCTTTCCTCCAGATTAAGTAAGAGCCTCTTAGAACCAGTTTGGTGTAGTAGTTAAGACCAGCGGACTCTAATCTGATGAAATGGGTTTGATTCCCTCCTTCTTCACATGGAGCCTGTTGGGTGACCTTGGGTCAGTCACAGCTCTCTCAGAGCTCTCTCAGCCCCACCTCTATCACCGGGTGTCTGTTGTGGGGAGCGGAAGGGAAAGAGATTGTAAGCCGCTCCTTCGGGTAGTGAAGAGCGGGGTATAAACCCAACTCTTCTTCTTCTTAAGTTGGGGGAAGGCTCCTTAGACTGGAGGAAGGCCATGTGGAGGATGGCTGGATCCATTCCACCACTGGTATTCTAAATGCATTTAACCAGAAGCCACTCCCAGGGCTTCTCCCTGCAGCTCCAAGTAAGACAGCTGAAGGTTGGGATATTCCAGTAATTTTACAGAATCGGGAATGGATCGAACTTGTGGGTAGGGTTGCCAGCCTCCAGGTTGTGGCTGGAGATCTCCTGGGATGACAACTGAACTCCAGGCAACAATCCCCCTGGAGAAAATGGCCTGCTTCAAAAGGTAGACTCTTGGGAATTGTACCCTGCTGAAGTCCCTCCCCTCCCCGAACCCCACCTTCCTAAGGCTCCACCCTCCAAAATCTCCAGGAATTTCCCAACCCGAAGCTGACAACCCTGGGGGTGGGTGGGCAGGGAATGATCATTTCAGCAATGCAGAGACTTTCCATTTCAGAGAATAAAGATGAATTTTTTAAAGAAATTACACCCTGCTCTGGGCAGATTCCGTTCCAGTATGGGCACAGCTGCACACATGTGGAGGAACCAGTGCTGGCATCAGCCTCTCTACCCTCCTGGTAGTTCAGACTCAAGAAACCTAACAGCAAGGGCACCATGGAGGGCAGAGGGGACTGGCTGGATGCATCCACAGGCCTTTCCGGTCTCTGCAGCACAGCGATACTGTACATGATGTGTCAAGCATGTATATGAAGGCAACGAAGAGGGTGGCACTGAGCCTTCTGCCACCGCCACCCACTAGTTCACTCAGCTGTAGCTGCATAGGGTTAGAATCATGTCCGCCTTCTACAGTAATATCCTTAGAAAACCATCAGGACGAATGGGACTTTAAACAGTATGCATACAGCTAAGGACCCAGAACAATGTAATAATGGGAGGGGGGGGAATCTTAACACATTCCTTCTTCAAGGCTCATACCACTCGTTTAATTCACTTTCCAATTGTGTGTGGGGGGAACTCACCCTCCATCTTCTAGTACATACAGGAGAATCAAATAGACCATAAACTGTGTCTGATAAATAGCATCATCATACAATTTTGGTGCAAATGGCATCCGTAGCGGAGCATAATAAACAATAATGGCAGATCTAGCGGGATAATATGTACTGGGGATAACACCCCGTCGCCTTGGATGACTTGCACACAAAAAAAAAATCACTGCAAGAGTATCGGTGACCTTCAAAGCGGGTCTCGAAACACCAGTCAGTGGAAGAGCATTGCAAAAAAAATTAAAAATTGCACTGTAATGGTACAGAAGAAGCGGGAGCCCTCTGTAAGGAAACTCACATTGTGAAGTCACAGAAGAGCTTCATGACTTGCATTTTGCTTATCAATTATCGGGCCATATTCCCTGCCTCCCGATAACCAGAGAACATCCATTAAAAGACAAACACGAGCCAAGGCAGACCACAGGAAGGCTCTTTCTTTAATGGTTGTCCTTGAGGCTCTTACTGCAGCGATCTACAATTCATAAAGATTCTGTGTGGCTATGCCACAGACACAAACCAGGTATAAAATCAGTTTAACTAGCATCCTCTCCCCCCCCCAGTGACCCAGAGGCAAGGACATTTGTCTGAGTTTGCTGAGACTGATCTCATAGAGATGCTGAGGTCTCCCCTAGAAGTGCAATCCCTAGGGTTCCTACCAATGCTCCCTCCGAGCTGTGGAGTCTTGTGAGCAAACATTCTACTTTGTGAGCTACTGGCATTAAAGTTGCGAGCAAGCGATTTGGCTACTGCATATATTAGTCTGCTCTGGAGCCATCCTTCCTTAGCTAGGACAAAAAAATCTGTGAGCTGGCGGCTAAAAAAACTGTGAGCTCGCTCACACTAACTCAACTTAGAGGGAACAGTGGTTTCCTACTTCAAGCAGAGACTAAGTCACTTGTGAAACCCACTGCCACAGGACGGAGTAGAGTCTAAGCTGATTTTTATGGGGCACTCAACAAATTCATGGGAGGTTCCATCAAAGACTACTAGCATATTCAGAGGCAGTAACCCTTTGAATAGCAGTGTGTGGGGGTGACAATGAAAGGAGGCTTTGGCTTCTGCAGGCCTTCTGGGAGCATCTGTTGGGTTACAGCGTGAAACAGGATGCTAGATGAGATGGGCCTGAAACTGGTTTATGTTTATAATGTAGACGTCATTATTCAAAGGTCTGTTGGAAACTACTGTGTTTCATCCTGTAATAAAATACATGGCATAGGTCTGTTTTGTCTAGTTTGGCTAATCTTTTCTACAGTATCCCTCTCTCTCTCTCTCTCTCTCTCTCTCTCTCTCTCTCTCTCTCTCTCTCTTTTTGCACTTTTGTGGGGATACTTACAAAAAGCTGATCAGTTGCTGGGAATATATCTGCTTCGATAGGACAGAACCTTGGAAGTTCGGCAACCAGCTCTCTGCTTGAGGCAAGCCTTCAGTGCTGCCCTCTACTGACAGTGAGATTCAACACCCACAAATACCACCACACTTTGGATAAAAGATCAGGGATCTGATGCAAGTTTTACATTCCAGACAAGTCATATGATACATGGGAGGGAGGAGAACAAGAAGCAACATTTGCAAAAAGGAACCATTAATTACATCGATTACTCAGCTCAATGGTCTGTGCTAGGCTTCTTCAAATCTCTCTGCAAGTTTTCCAATGTCAAATCTGCCTTATTTGACATGAAAATTCCTTACAAGACAGCGTCAAGGCAGAGAGGAAGGGAATGAACACACGTAGCCCACCAAGCACTTACAAAATACCACCATCCACACCACAGGCCCTTTCATGACAAAATCCATGACTTCCCAAGAATTCATTCCCCAATAAGCAGGCACAAAACAGCATCACTTTTTCCTTACCTCCTAGAGCTTGTTTCATTACAAATTCCATGTTGATGGCTTAGATTCCTTTCCACCAGATCAGTTCTCACATGCAAGTCAGACTCAGACAAGTTCTCGAGCAGCTGCCTGCAGCTGAATCCAGAAGGTAAAAAAGATTCACATTAGGGCTGTCTTCCTTTGGAATCCGGATCCAGCTATGTGCCTTATCGCATTAGATCTCCTTGTCCTCTCAGCAGCCTATTGGGTGGCTTCCCCCACCCCTCCATTCACCCAGAACCTGAAGTTACTTGCTAATGTTTTGGACAGCTAGATGGCATGGTGTATTCCTTAACATTGTGTACTATGATCATTAGGGAGGAAGAAGAAAAGGAGCAATCTATCACTGGCAGACTGTCATGGGATAGCACTGAATTAATGGGGAACTATTCCTGGACTAAGGCACTGTTCACTCTGAATCTTTCAGTAGAAAATTAAGCATTGTAACAAACAAAAAGCTGCACCTTCATTTGCCATCTAAATAGGCTGTAGCATTTAATTGAATTTTCTAAGCACCCATTTCAGTTTTTATACCGGGCTATTTAGAAGGGGCTATTTGGCTTCACATGAAATCCAGGGAGTTTAGCCAAGTTCTCGCTGGCAAAAGGTTAAACATTTTTGACTTTGTAGCGATTTTTCAGAGAGGGTCCTTTGAGGAAGGGCGAGGGAGCTCTAGCAAAGAGCAGGGGCAGCACTGGGGGGCATTTGAAGGTTGAAGCACTTGAGCTCCTTGAATTCACAGCAGTAGGCTTTGCTGTCAATACCGCCTAATTGCTGACCCCATGTTGGCATCATTGACTGGCAAAGTGGCTCCAGTCAAATATCAGACACATTACAAGAAGGGGAATGAAATGCCAGTTGACGATCGAGGTGCCATTAAGATCATGTATGCTAGAAGCACCTAAAGCTAGACTGATTGTATCACCTCTGAAAAACAAGGTCAACTTCTTGCAAAGTCACAGGGAAGTTTCTCTTGGATTTGGTGCAATACTTAATAATCCTGACATTGACTCAAACTGCGGCATAGACTTCCAGACCGAGGCGACAGCATTAAGGATATTAATTGATATATCTGTCACGTCCATTTTCTTTTCATCAAGTTCTTTTTCCCCACAAGCAAAACTCTAGTCATTATTTGAAATCATTTGGGATTGTACAATCGAACTTGAACTCCAGAAGTGAATGGGATTCCCAGGAAGAGGAAATTGTCATTTAAACCCACGATGCCCCCCTCCATTAGATCTGCAGAGAAATGTACATGCCCCCAAAGTTTCATTTACAGTGCCCTGCAGATCAGTCTTATGCATGTATATGCAGAAATGTCCCACTGTGTTCAGAGGGGTTTACACCCTGGATTGCAGCCCTAGTCATGTAAGCTCTTTATTTTATTTTCCAGTAATATTACTGTTTAGGCAGGCTTTTTTTTTTTCTTTAGAAAAGGGGAGCGAGAGCTAGAGGGAATGTATTAAGAAGAAACAGAGGGCTGCACGACTGCACCAACCGGCCGTTTTCCCTCTCCAAACTTCTGTGTTCAAAAAAATACTGTGACCTCAGACTCCTCTTGGGAGAAAAAAAATCAATGCATGCACCAAAGGAACATGAGGCATGCTTCTAATTCCAATGAAGTTGCACGGAGACGACGCAAAACATACTGGGGAGGCTTTTAAAAATCCACACACACACACACACACACTGTACTTTGCAGCACCAAGGTATTCAGATCATTAGAATGATATAACCTTTTCACCAGCAAATAAAGCTGTCAGTCAGAAAGCTTGCACTGCAAGTCTCTCCGTGCCCAGACTCGGGAGGTTACTGCAAGCAGAAACATGACCCCAAAGCCTGTCCGGCATACCCATCATTAATACTCCCCCCCCCCTTTCCTGCCCAGGACCCATCTCTGCAAACCCGAAGTCGAGGGTTTCAGCACCAGGACAGCTCACAGCGGCACCGCGAGAGAGAAATACGAGAAATCGCCGGATCCGTGAGGCGAGAGCTGCAGGGCATTTTAGCAGAAGATGGGAAAGGCGAGCGTTCAGCACCAAGGACATTTCCCTGCGTCCGGGCGGTGCCTACAACCAAGGACACGTTGCCGAGCATGGCAGCGTCAGCACCTAGGACAGTTCCCCCGCCTCTCGAAAAGAAGGCGCTAAAAAGGCCAGGGGGAAAAAATACCTTTTCTTTTCGTTCCAGCGTTTGGGTTCCCGCAGTTCTGTCTCCTCTTGAGTTGTGAAGAGAATGTTCTTTATTCCCTCCTCCTCCTCCTCCTCCTCCTCCTCTCCCTCCCTCCCCAGTTTCCTTAGCAGATCAAGCTCCGGTTACTCGCCGGGTCCATGTGTGCCTCCAGGAGCGAAAACGCTGTTGCTGAAAGGGATGGCCAATAGCTCAGGCGCAAGAACTTCTCCGCCTTGGGACAACGTCCGGGGCACGACAATGAGCCAGCAACAGAGGGAGGAAAAAGACGAGCCGAACGCTCCGTACTTTAACGACTCCCTCTTTTTTATCACGGGATTTCCGGACCATCCCACTGACACTATTCCCTCCTTACTCTACGCTGGCGCCTTCTTCCTCCTCCTCCTCCTCCTCCTCCTCCTCCCGCTACCGAGGTTGCTGGATCGGCATTTCTCGCTGGGCTCTCGCTTACTCCGCCCCCCTCCCCGATCCCACGGTAAGGGTTGCGGGAGGTTAGCCGCTGTTCCTGCCGCAGGAGATGGCTTTTCACACACCTGCAGTCGGGGAGCTGCTAAACTGGGGGGGGGGGTTGTCGGGAGGAGGGGCGGCTCATTTAACCAGCGGCCATCTGGATGCATTTGCGGGGCGGGGGCTGTATACCGTGGAACTGGGGGGGGAGATGCCTAGTCAGCAGTTTTCTCTGCAAAAAGCCTCCCCGAAGCGGAGCTCTCCCGCCTCAGGCCCCGTGACTGCGCTCCTCCTCCCCGCTCCAAAACCGGGGAGCGGAGAAGCGGGGAAAGAGCCAGGCGAAGTCGGAGAGGGCACCGCAAGGTTGAGATCGAGAAGGGGGCTTCCGAACGCCTTCAGGATGACACGGCGGCTGTCAGATGGGGCTGGGTTTGGAAGAGGGCTTGGCCGTCTCCCCCGTCCCTTCCAAGGGGGCGTCTGAAGGTTACAGTACAGTATGGCTGGAGAATGTCAAAGATGCAAGCCCCGGGCGGGGCGTGTCAACGGGAGGCGGGAGCGCCTGCTCAGGAAGGAACCCCGCAGCTTTTGCCGGCGAGACGAAGACAATAATAACGACAATCAGACTGAGAATCCGAATCATCGGAGGGGCTGCGTCGGACCTGGCAGTGAACGCGGGAGGCGAACTCTTTCGCCCTTGGATTCAACTCGCCCCGCAGGCAGGCAGGCAGGCAGGCAGGCAGCCCCCCCCCTCCCCCAGTTCAAACTGCTGCAATCGTGTGCCGCTCTCCTCCCGACACTGCTGCAGACCCGGTCAGCTGATGGAGCCTCCCCGGGCTCCGGAGGCACCTCCGTGCTGGCGTGACGGGAAGGAAACGACCCGAGCAGACTGCAAGGAAGAGGGGAGGGGGGAGGGCCAGTCGGGAGGAATGACGGGGCAGCCGCCCAATTAAAGAAACAGGCACAGGCGTAAAGCAGCGGGGAGGGGGGGAAGGGGAGAGATTTCGCCGAAAAGGCAAAGAGAGGAAGCGGGTCAGTGTAGACCACGCTGCGGCTCCGCGGAGCTGGAGTCAAGGTTGAAGGAGCGCAAAGAAGTCCGGGGTGTATGAAAGGGAGGGTGGGTGACTTGACCAATCGAGTCAAGTGGGCTGTCTGGGGGAAGTTGAATGCCTTGCAGCCAGGCCCTTTGCATGTCTACTCGGAAGTAAGACCGACTGAGAGCCAGGGGGCTTTCCACCCAGGTAAGCATGCCTAAGACTGACCCTAAATCTCAAGCAATCTTTACAAAGTATTATCCCGATCTAGATTTTAATATTTTGTCCCTGTCGTTCCAGTTCCCTTCTCCTTGCTGGGCTGTTTCACATCTGTCTAGCTTCACCACTGCAGCATTGGCACATACGTGGGAAGTTAGCATGACATCTCAGAGACAACTTCCATATTGCCTCCAGTACAGTTCACATGCCCAAAGGATGGGCATCGCTTGCACAATAATAAATCAAGTCTCCTTACAGGCCTCTCTTTTGAACAGTCATGTGTCCTTGTTAGTGCATGTGGTGGCAAAATGAGACAGGGCTTTTGACACAATGAAGACTAGGAGATATCTCTGCTACAGACTAACCCTGCTTGACTGGCCATCACCTTTCTCCCAGGACACTAGGGCTATTGTCGTTTTGTCAAGGGATCTAGGAAGCTCGAACCAAGGGGTTTCACTGAACTACAATTCCCAGAATTCTTTGGAGGAAGCAACAATGGATAAAACTTGTCTCAGACACAAGTGTGTACTGCAGACGACAATTGAAGGTGACCTGGGACTCATCAATGTTAAATCCTATATTAGAGAGAGGGGGAGGGAGAATCCACCCAGATCACAGATAAATAGGAGCTCACAAGAGACAGTTCCAGATCACAGATAAATATGAGTCCCAAGAGACAGTTAAGGGGTTAGAGGGCCAGAGTAGGATCTCAGAGATGCAGGTTTGAATCACCACTCTGCTACAAAAGTTTCCTAGGTAACCTTGGGCCTGTTACTTTCTCTCATCTTAACCTGCCTCAAAGGGTGGTGGTTGTGTGGATAAAACAGAGCTGCTTTGAGTCTCCATTAGAAGAAAAGCAGAATATCAGTAAACAAGCAAACACTTGCAAAGCTCCTGGACACCTTTGCTGAATAACTAGAACCATCCCCTGCATATGAGAACGTAAGAAGAACCCAGCTGGCTCAGACAAGTAGTCAGGGAGTCGCCCAATGGCTGCCCAGTTTCTCTGGAGGACCAAACAGGAAGGGCACAGAGGCCTAAGCCTCCCCCCCCCCCGGACACTGCTTCCTAGAAATGGTATTCACAAGTATCTGACAAAAGGAACTTTGACTCTCGAAAACTTATATCCCCCCAAATCTGGTTGGTCTCAAAGGTGCTACTGGACCTGAATCTAGCGCTTCTGCTGCGGACCGACATGGCTACCCTCTGAAATACGTATTCAGAGGTTTTCTGCCTCTGACAGTGGAGGTAGATCAATGCTCCCTCTGATTTTCTTCCCCTACTGAGTGGAGCAGTTCACATCCTGAGCAGAACATAACTGCTGTAATATTAAAATGGGTAATGGGCCAGCGCAAGGCCCTGTGTGGCTCCAGACTGCTGCTAAGCAGGGCTTCCTGTGTTAATGAGCAGCCGCTTACACACACAGCTTAGAGGGGACACTGAGTAGGTTTGGAGCTAAACATTTTCCAGATCACTTCTCGCTTTAGATACCAGCAGCACTCTGAATAAGATGGAGTCAGCTCACTCTTGTGTGCACCATCTTCTCATGACTCGCGGCAGAAACTGCGTGAACCTGGACTGTCCTGTTGACAAAGGCTGCGTGAGAAGTGAAGGGGATTTTTTTGTCAGTGGCATTTGGTTTACAAAACCATATCTACACATGGAAATCACCCCTCGGGGCCGCTGTCACGTGATCCATCTGCACACCCAAAACACAACATCTGGCATTTCCACTTTGTTTTGTTTTTTCAGTTCTTTTTCCTCTAAAAAGGATATGGTATTTGTGTATCATATTAAAATGTATCCTCATGCCTTCTAATAGTATCCTGGCAGACCCTTTGGGGAATCACAAAAACAATCAAGCAGGCCATCCACTAAGAAGAGGAAGAAGAGATTGGATTTATACCTTGCCGTTCACTACCCAAAGGTGTCTCAGAGTGGTTTACAAACTACTTTCCCTTCCCCTCCCCACAACAGGCACCCTGTGAGGTGGGTGGGGCTGAGAGAGCTCTGACAGAAACTGCTCTTTTTCAAGAACAGCTCTTATCAGAACTACGGCTTGCCCAAGGTCATCCAGCCAGGTGCAAGTGGAGGAGTGGGGAATCAAACCCAGTTCTCCCAGATTAGACTCCGCGCACTTAACCACTACACCAAACTGGCTCTAAGGGTTCCTAGGTACTTAAAAAGTGACTGTAATTTAACTATAAAAAAAGGGAGAGGCCCAAATGACCTGCTAATGAGCGGGTATCTTCTAGGAGACATGGAATGCTGAGAGACAGTAAAAAGGAAAGGAGAGGAATAAATTAGGCCAATTTTATTAGACCCTACTTTTCTCTTCAATGGGGACCCAAAGCAGCTTACAACATTGCACATGGTTTCCCCAGTGTCATCCTTACAACCACCACCTTGCAAGGTAGGCTAAGCTGAGAGGAGGAGAGCCAATGGCCCAAGGGTGGCCAGTGAGCTTCCTTGGCAGAGTGGGGATGCAAACTTGGTTCTCCCTGAAGGATTATTTGGTTAGCAGAGTGCTCATGGCACATAACTCAGCGAAGCCTATCTGGGTTGTGTGTGCTGACACAAAACAAAGTTACACATGGAGCCTCTTTTGCTTTGCAAAACTAATATGAGTCCTTTATTGTAAGGAATTCCATTCTAGATAGGACAGAGATAGGATTCTAATCTAGTCTAGCTAGGATGGATAGAAATGAAGGAAGCATGTCCTGTCCTCATGGTGCCAAGATGGAGAAGGCTAGCATAGTGTGGAGAGAAGGTGTCAAAGCCAGAAGGAAGGAAGCTTCCCCAAGAGCAGCAATCTAGGGCAATTCTGCATTGGCTTTTCTCTCCATTGTTATACCAAACCCACTCACATTGGAGCAGAAATTCCCCTCTGCATTGCATGCTACTGTCACTTTCTTTGATCATCGGATTTTGTGGTACCCTCTACACTGCATGCTGCTTTCACTTTCTTTGATCATCAGGTTTTATGGTACCTTCTGCATAGATTTATGGCCATTCAGGGGTGACTTTGCAGTCAGTATGGCATTGTCCCAAAGTATTTAAATGTGGTTTTGAGGTGCACCTTTTTTGTTCCATCGTGGGTTTGGTACAGGCCCATAGATACAGTGGGTCATTTGGGGGGCTGGCCCCCTGACTTCCTGCCAAGGCCCCCTGACTTTCATCCAGCCCCCAGGCCCCCTGGCTCTCTGGGCCGCCTGGAGGACTTCTGACTTTCTGGGCTGCCTAGAGGACTCTCCCCACCACCCCTTCCCCAAGCGCCACTTGCCCCCCCACTTAAACAGGTAGAGTGCTAACATTGCAAAAGTGAGTATT